TATTAGAAGACCACAGAAGATATAATAAGAGAAGTTTAGTTAATATATTTGCATAAGAACATGGAATTACACATTTATGTATATTTCTACTCAAGATCAAGACACCTGAGTTGCAAGCTGCTCAAGACAAGGATCATGTCTGAATTCACAATGCCAGGCATAAAGCAATCCCCCAGTAAATGTTTTGTCAGTAAGAAACTAGGATAAAGTTATATAATCCATCTCTATCATTCCCAAACATATGAAGTAGATAAGCTTGCTATTCCATCTTGAAATTCACAGAGAAATATAATATTTATCTCATGAAAGTGCATAATGTATAAATCTGAATTGCTAATGCTGTCAACTGAATGATCTGCTTGGTTGAGATAAACACTGTCAAAGCATTAAAATGGTCAATTCTTAATTCAGTTATGCTAAAGCAGAGATAAATCACACATTTTTAAATATCCCTCCTTGCAAGACATTATGGGACACAGAAATGTATGAATATCTGTTGATGATAACGTGTACAATATCTTCAACTGTACTAGTGTGAAATGTATTCATGCCGGGTAAATTCACTTTACAAGTAGTAATGATGTATAGTGACTGAATGTATTAAATAAATAAATATCTCTTTTTTTTTTTTTTGGAGAGGTTTTTGCTATAGGGCGCATGTGCTCGCCAGAGAGACAGAGAGAGACAGAGAGACCGAAATCACCCCCTACGGGGGATAGCCACACTGCAATCCATTCTTCTCCATTCTTCTCTTGGCATCTTGGGCACGGTGTGAGTTTTAAGCCACCAGGTCTGAGATGCGAACCGCAGTCAACTACGTGGGAGTCCAGCAACACAGCCATTACGCTAACTGCTGGTCCCAATATCTCTCCTTGAGGGATGATGACCAAAATAAGATTCCTCTTATTCCCCTCTTAGATTTGCCATCTGATGGAAATGCTAAATAGCATTGAGGTAAGAAATGGAAACTCATTCTTATAAGGGGGAAGAGGTGGGGATAATTCATGCTCTGCATAATCTATTTTGGGATGGATATGAGTATTTGCCACATAATCAGTCAATTCAATAGGCAAAATGATCATGTCCATTTTTGCAAGGAGAGCAAAATGTATTTTTTAAAAATAAAAATCTATCAAAACATTCAAATTACCCTTTAGTCATAAGTAAATTCTGTCTTGAAATTTAATTAAATGTAGTCTTTCTAAAAATGGGAAATAATTTTGTTACCTACCTCTCAATTTATCTCTAGTTATAAATATTGATTATTTCCTTATGTATTTTGAGCTTATTAGCAATGTTATAATGAAAGAAAATATATACAGAACATTGCCAGTTTACTCTTCTATTATGAAGCAACTTGACTAAGATACTTTACATTTTTAGGGGTTTTGATACTTTCATGTGCAGGAAGGCACTTATAAATAGGGAGCTTCAGTAGACTAGTATTAAGGGTCAGGATCAGAAGAGACTTGTTCATTTACATATCACATGATCCTCTTCGTGCTGTTTCTTTACCTATTAAATGTCAGAATAAAGCTATATGCTTCATGAGGATTAACTAATTAATATTAATAACTGATTATAAGAAACATTGCAGAACCAGCAGTTGGTGTAATGGCTATGCCACTGGACTCCCATGTGGTCAACCACGGTTCGAGTCCCAGACCCTGTGGCTTAAATTCACTCAGGCACTTGTGCATGTGTGCCCAAGATCCCAAGAGGAGAATGGAGAAGAGATTGCAGCGTGGCCATCCCCCCCTGGGAGGTGATTTCTCTCTTTCTGTTTTTCTGTCTCTCTCTCTCTCTGTCTTTCTGGCAAGAGCACACACCTATAGCAAAAACCTCCCTCCCACTAAAAAAAAAAAAAGAAAGAAACATTGCATATGTTTAGGTGTATTAGTGAAGAAATTGAAATGAGATTATTTACATTACTAAAACAATTGGGTTTTTTTAGAGAAATTTTTAGATCAAGCTGTGCAGGTTAGGGCCAACTTCACATGCATTAAGAATCATCCAGGCCAAAAAATAAGTCTTTCAAAGGACAAATCCAGAGGATGCAGTCCCTAAAAAGACAGAAACCATCGTTAAATGTTCTTCTTCCCTATTCTCATCGCTTGATACTATTTTGTTGTGGTGGTTATTCCTTGACTTCCAATGAAGGGAATTCTTGGGGTTTACTCCTAAAACCCTGATGAGCTCTCTCTCTTTTTCCCTCTCCAGCTCCTAAAGTGTAGGTCTTTATCATCAAAGATTCTTCCCTAAACACTTTCACTTCTCTGTCAACTGCCTCATTCCTTTGAACAAGGTATTCGATCTTCTGATACTTCCATAGTCAGTGCTTCCAAATCTGAAACCCAACCAAGTTTCTCTTTTAAATTTCGGTTCTGTATTTTCAGCTGTTGTGTGATGCTCTCCACCTGCCCCATCTGCCCTTCATACACAATATATTTTCCTTTCTTTACTTAATCAGCTCCTCCTTTTAACTTCCCATTCTTAAGAGACCTGTAGACATTTTCCCAGGTATCAAAATTTACAATTTTGGCATGAACTTTCCCTTTTTTTTTTCCTTATCTTCCATCTCCAGGTTATACCTAAACTCTATAAATTCTACCTCTTCTACCTCTGCAATATCTTTGTTTTTTTTCCCCTCTCTTTTTGGACCTTACATCATTTTCTCACATCCTCATAGTTTGTTTATTACACATTCAACCACTGTATATCATTATAGTTTATAAAATGAATTCTTAGCACAAATACATTGCATATTAGTCCAGTTAAAGATATCATGCACATTATCAACAGATAATTTTCCATTTTTGTGTTCCTTGTTTTACTTTTTTCTTTTTCCCCTTAATTCTCTCCCTCCCCACTTCCCTACTCCCCACCCTCCTGCTGCACTGTCTTTAGTATCCACAATTGTTCTCCATACTTTTATATCTTCCAGTTTTTTAGTTTCTGCCATAGAGTACAGACATTTGGTATATATTAAGTGGGGATATACAATATCTTTCTAAATAATTATTTTATTTCTGTTGGCATTTTCTCTCTCTTGTGTAGTCCTTATCACCTATCATCTATTAATATACTATTGGAAAAACCACTTAAGGATCTCTCTGTCTTCAGAATACTCTATCTTCATCTACTCT